ATCATCTTGGTCCCCCTCCCAGCCCTGCATGCTACATCAGACTCACTGTCTTGCTATCGTTGAGAAGACGTGAGGCAGCACCTGTTACATTTTCCATCAGAGGACAGTTTCCTCTCTGTGTCCCTCAGTGCATGGCCATGTCAGATATATGATGAAGACATCGTCATTCAAAAACACCTGATACATAAGAGACTACGTGTGCATGTGCACCATCTGTGCAGCTGTTCTGAAGGACATCAGAGGCTGAAGTGAAGCAGCTCCTCTCCCTCTCTCTCTCCTCACACATCACAAAGAACAGCAGCTGCACCGAGAGACGCCTGTGAGGGAATTACCCTCAAAGTTTAGATTCATGGAAACAGCCAGAACTGTGAAACGTATCCCGGAGAGACTATCGATGCTAAATGTCCTCCTAAAGAACAACGAAGACCGTGGCCAAAATATGATCCCATATGAGCCCGTACCCGACGTAACAGTAACGTTGTCGAGTCTTTAGATACCGTTAGAGAAGTTCTGATGTTTAGAAATATTTGAGAAATGGTTGTGTACTTTGTCCTGCAACTGTTCGGTTTAGAATCCTTTTAACGCTGTCTGCGCTATGTGGCACTAAAATAAGTTGTCAATGTGAAATATTTATTTTTTGGGATGCATCGGTATCGGCCGATATTCGCCCTGTTGACAGACAGTACCCGATGTTTATCTGTTTAAAGCAGACATCTACTGAACGTAACTCCTGATTCAGATTCAGAGAGGAGGTTTTTGTGATTGGGCAGATGAAGTCACCTGTTGGGACAAACTGTGACTCGTTATCATTTTCAAATACGAGAGAAAATGTTGCCTTGTGGGAGTCTGACACCAAAAGAAGTCATGAAACAAACATCGGTATCAACATCAGCCCTGACCTTCCCAATCGGTACGTCTCTAATTTGATTATCTTTTTTTTTAAATCTTTCTACAAACGAAGTCTTCTGACGACCATTGCGACGTCATACGGCAGTAAAATCAGTGAGTTATAGAAACAGAAGGTCATGCTGTCTTCAATCATGATCACTTTTTTAAAATGGACTTATCGATCTCCCATACCAACTAAAAGACGCAGCATCATGATACACCATTCAACGCACCAATCAGATACTGAAGATCGTGTGATGTAACATAGCGGTGTCCTGGTGCTTGCAGAGGTTACCTCAGTAAGAGCGAGCTACACTCTGTCTCTACATGTCTCCCCCAACTCTCGCCTCCATACGTTTTCTCTCTCTCTCTCTCTCTCTCCAGCTGTCCAATCAATAAAGATAGAAAAAGGTGGAGCAGTGGTTAGTGCGCACGCCCCATGTACGGAGGCTTTAGTCCTCCAGGCAAGCGGCCCAGGTTCGAATCCGACCTGTGGGCCCTTTCCTGCATGTCATTCTCCACTCTCTCTCTCCCTGATTTCTGACTCTGTCCTATCTCTCAAATAAACTCACAAAAGGCCCAAAAATAAATCTTAAAAAGAAAATAATAACAAAAGGCAGAAAAAGACAAATCAGCTTAAAAAAAGAAAGTATCAATTAAACTGGTCATCGACAAACAGAGCTACATTTCTACAATGAGAAAACAGCACATGCACTGAGTGACTTGTCATGTTTTGACATTTTTCCACACCGCAAAGCGTGCGCGCCGTCTCTCAGCTCCGTCGTCCGCCACATGAACACAGCAGCAGCTGCAGCAGCTGAGGGTCGAGCAGCGAGCTGACGGCTACCTCTCAGCGGACCTACACAGTGATTCCAACGCGAGCCGGCGTCCTTCACATGACAGCCTGATGAAGGCGATGTGCCGGAGCTGCCCTGAAAGCATCAAACAACCTCCTCCCCTCCCCCCACCCCGACCCCGCCCCAAGTGAGCAATAAGGCAACACCTGTCTCTCCTGAAGCATCACCTTTCCCTCCATGGTCTCTGTGGCTCTGCTCTCTCCACCGTCATTAAGCCCTGCTTCTGTGTGTGTCGGTATGTGTGTGTGTGTGTTCAGAGAGCAGATGCTCCTGCAGAGCTTCGAGGCCTCCGCTGCCCGCTCTCAGGAGGAGAATTAAGGCGCCGATATCTTCTTCAACTACTGGAACACCGCGGGGGCTGTGGTGATTGGGGGCGGTGGGGTTGTCGAGCAGCTGTTGGAGAGGTTGTTACGCTGCCGAGTGATTAGACGAAGCATCATCCAACAAGGAAAACCATCCAGCAATCTGAACACACACACACACCCCCCCGAGCACTCACTCTCAAACACTCTCAGTCTCAGTTAAGCTTAAGTGCAGAGTTTGCTGACGGAGCGTCGCCCGGGGACTCATTATGTCCATCAACACACCAGCCAATCACACGCCAGAACACTCCTCCATGTAAAGTATGACTCTGTCGAGGAAAATGTTCTTCAAGCGAGGAGATAAGTCGTGTTGATGTGAAAAGCGAAGCACACTTGGCTCCATTACTCGCACACGTTTGACCATAATGTTGTCTTGTTATTGTTGTTTATATACTTATGAACAGCGTCCCTCTGCCTCCTCCGATAAACCGGATGAAGCCAGAATATCCCCGAGACGGGCGGCAATTTGCAACCAGAGTCTGTACAGTAGGGATCGGCTGAAGAGTCGCAGAATAGACATTCACTTGGTTACATTTCCTCTCGCCTGTTCCTCCTCTACTCTGATTATCCGCTGCACAAAGCAATGCTGGAGCCTCATTCGTCGACAGAGCTGTCAATCATGGTGTTTTATATCGAGTTATAGAATCAAATAACAAATTAAAGAAAGAAACTAAAAAAAAAAAGATGACTTGGACATTAAATGGTGCAGCAACTATCATGATGACAAGAGTTTTTAAAAAACTGTATGCGACGTGCACTTCGATTGTAAATAGTGTGTCATCGCGGAGGGGGCGGGGTTTATGTCCTATACTGCAGCCAATCAGCAGGGGGAGCTCTAACCATCGTGGCTTCACGCTAAGGGGGGCTTTTGCTCTGTCCATCTTTATATACAGTCAAAACCGAGGTAAAGTTCTGAAGTGAGGAGACATGACAAAAACACCAAATTTAGAAAGGAGCTTTTTTTCCATGCACACGCACACGCACACACACTCTCTTTGTAATATAAATTCAGTAGATGGCCTTGGTAAGAACTCAGTGTGTGTGTGTGTGTGTGTGTGTGTGTCTCCGCCTGTGTCAGCACTCCTGTGATGTTCCGTTTTTCCTGCTCTCTCCCTCTCTGACGATGCGTTCACTGACCGCTCCAAGCTTTGATGTGTGAACGCTCTGTGAACAGATTATCACCATCAATGACTGTCTACACTTTCTCTCACGCTCCTGAACCGTCCGCAGCTTCCCACCTGTGTTGACTAAAAGCGACTGCACAAACTCTCCTTCAAACCGCCCCGTTAGAGGCGCGTTCTCTCTGCTGCTGCAGACGTGCCCTCAGGGAGCACGCTGACCCGCTGTGTGTCCGCTCTGCCAGTCACAACCCTGACACGGTGACCTTCTAATTAAACTCTTGTTACAACATATTCAAAGTCATTACAGCAGAACGGTTGGTGTTTACAATGAAGCGTGAATGAGGATTCATTATGTTTACGGTGGGCGTTTCTTTTCTATAAATACATCTCCATGAATCACAGAAAATGAAACATTATTTATGTGTTCTGGGACAAAAAGATAAACGATAAAAAGAAGAGAAACACAACAGACTGAGTTTGGACAGTTCTGTAAACGTTCTTTTTCAAATTTGATTTTTAAATGTGTAAACAAAGTCGCTCCAGAAACGACCTGTCGGCTGGTAAACAAACCGGGGAGTGAAATCAGAACGAGGGCGATGCAGCACTGACGCAAAGGCGGACTCTGTTGCTTTCTTCTGCGGACAGACGTGTCTTCTCTCCTGAGGGATCGCCTCCTGCTGTGAGGTGCATGTGTGAACAACCAACTCAGGAGGATTTCAGGGGCAGTCCTCCTGAGATTCTCAGGAATGCACGTGTGAATACGGCTACTCCTTTTCTGCGCTCCTCAGGGACAAACTTTAGCTCACATTGTTTCTCTGAAAACTGAAAGATCCGCATGCACGATAACTTCAATCCCTCATTTGGAGAAAAGATGAAGTCACATATGCTGAATGCAAACATTGATCCCCCCCCCACAAAGATTATTTCAGTTTAGCGATGATAAAACAGCTTCTATGTCGCTTAAACACATCTTTAGGTGTAAAGCATTGTACCCACAAAATGCAGCTTTTACATGAGAAAGTAGAAAATATTGGCTATTGGCTCATTTATTTGCCTCATCATGAACTCTGTGGGCTCCCCCCCCCACCTCATGCAATTCAGTGAAATGTAATATCATATCTCATAACACCGTCCCGCCCTGTTCTGGGGGCTCGCCTGGCTCCTCCTCAGCAGCAGCAGCAGCAGACCCGCCCTCCTCCTGCAAACAGCCCGCCTGTTTTCCCATCCTCAACTTTTAGACTATCCCACCCACTTTTCTGTGCGGAGTGAAAGTACACAGCTGATCAACAAATTCCACATAAAGCCTTCCTGTTTGTGTATTTTTAGCTCCTTAAATCCTTAAACCTGCAGTTGCATTGAAGCACAGCTGCGAGCAGCAGGATTTGGATGATCCGAGTCCAGCTCCGTTTGCAGCTGGACAGCGGAGCTCCAAGTTATCATTAAACAAATATTTAGACAATGAAACACCTCCTGCATCATCATCAGCACCCCTGGTCGTTTTCTTACTGATGAACATGCTATTTTCAGATGGTTTCAGGAGGTATTTTGTGACATATTTCGCTTGTTTTGTTCTAAAGTTAACTGCTGCTGCAACCGCGTCTCTCCATGCGGGAACAGCTGCATGACGTCAGCTTTAATTGCGTGTTCACACAGCTCTCATTGCGGGGTGAATAATATCAGTGAATGTGCGTGGAAAGTTGCACAAAGTGTTTTTTTTGGGGGTTATTTTGGAGGACAAAAGCAGCCGAGTGTGCAGAGCAGGAGGAACTTACTTGAAGGTGAGGATGCACAGCGGTCTGTAGGACTTGTGGCTCGTGTTGTCCGCCATCCTCTTCCCCCAGAAGTCGTTGCTGAAGATGTTTCCGAGGCTGGAGCCCGGTCGGACGTCCGGGTTGTTGATGATCGCCCACACGTCGTCGTGCACCAGCTCCCCTTGGAGAGAGTTGCCGTAGCAGAGGGCGCACAGGGCGGCCAGCACGGCGTAGCGACCCGCAGCCCATGCCGCCTCCGTCCGGGCGATGAGCCGCGGCGGCCGGCGGGCTTTCTTGTCCCGGTCCGGCGCTGTCATGTCGGGCCTGGCTTCTCCCGCGGCTCCGCTGGGCTGACGGTGAAGCTCGGAGCACCGGAGGAGGAGACGTCCATTCCGCCTGGCAGGTAGCGGCTGTGTGTGTGTGCGGTGGACTGCGGGGACGGTGAGCATGTACTGTGCTGCGTTCAAGTGCAGTCGGTGAAAGCAACTTCTTACATGCCAACTTCTTCTCAGCTTTTTATTTTGTTTACAAATACAACACCGGGACTTTACTGTGCTGTGGCCTATTTCATGAAAGCTGAGAAAAATGAGTCTGCCTTATTGAATTATTAAATTACTAGACATCAGGGAAACAATAATGCCTTAAGTTTTGGCATTTGTGACCCTGAAATAGATAAGATGATACTAAGAGTTTTTATGCACCATTTGTATCTCACCCAGGATACTGTAGTTGTTTTTGAATTATATGTACTGTAAACAAATATTTACTATCATCCTATATTGGACATGAAGCTACGGAAGCCCTAAGCGTACACACTGTACATCCAAGAGGATGTAGCCTACATCTCAGTTGTTTTGTCCAGTTGTGACTTATTTATCTCGTCGTCTTGAGATAAAAAAAAAAAAAAAGCTGGTTTTTCCCTTGATAACTTGATAAGTAACTTCAGCCATTTTTGACCTCAAGAAATAAACTTGTTATCGCAGGAAAAGAGAACGTTGTTATCCCAAGTTAATGAGATAAAGTCAAAACTCGAGATTGAATACTCATGAGAATTGTTTTTATTGATGCTTGTCCGCACTTCCGGCCTCAGTAGACAACACATAAGTTAATGCATTAATTACTGTGTCTGGACCTTTTAGTGCTTAAAATATTGGCAAAGATTTTGGATCAGTGATCCTCCACCATGAGTGACGTCACCCGTCTGTTCCTGCAGGGGGCGCTGGAGTCCCATCGATGGCGGTCTCCATGCTGGAAATGCTGTCTCAGTCTAACTTTCAGTCAACCTAACGACAGGCTGAGAGCTGGAGCTGATGCGGGTTTTAAACCTCCTGACAAACCGTTACACCGCGCCCACCTGTCAATCAGGTCAGCTACACGCCTTATTGTGAATAACTCTTATCCTTCATCAAATCAAAACTGATGAGTCATCAAAATCTCTACGGTACCCACCTCACCCGCAAAGCAACCAGCATTATGCATGACCCCACCCACCCCTCACACAGCCTCTTCAGCCTCCTGCCATCGGGGAGACGGTACCGCAGCCGGTTCCACCAGACTGGGAAACGGCTTCTTCCACCAAGCTGTCAGGAAGCTTAACTTTCTCCCCTCTCTTCCTTCCCTCCCCTCTGCCCCCACGACACTGGACGTTGAAACCCCCTCCCGTTTTCCACCAAGAACTCTGGACTAAAAACTCTGAAGCTAACATCTCGAAAGTACACTCAGTTTACTGCACATTGCACATACTGCACAAGTTGTATTTTATTTACTACCTTTTGCACAATTTAGAATTTATTACTGTAAATATTATTTATCTTATTTTTACCTCATTTCATTTATCTATTTTTACCTTATCTTATTTTACCTTATTGGTTGTATTGCACCGCGGGACGGAGACAAACGAAATTTCGATTCCACTGTATGTCTGGCATATTTTGAAATTGACAATAAAGTTGACTTTGACTTTGACATTCACCCTCCGTACAGTGTGTGTCGATCGAGACATGAGCTAATCAGACCTGTTTGTTTTTTTTAACCAGGCTGTAAACGTGTTGATCTCTGCTGTAAAAACAGGCTTTTTAGAATGGGTGTGTATGTGATTTCCTGTGCTTCTGCAGCCAGCCTCTAGTGGACACTTGAGGAACTGCAGGATTTTACACTTCAGCATCGGCTTAATTTTCAACACCGGAGGTTGCTGCTAGTCCTCCACTGAACTTGTCAGCTTTCAAACACATTATTGTCTTCTTCAGTCATTGGTCAATACTGTTTACATTTCAGCATCACATGGACAGATGTTCAGATGTAGGCTAGATGTTCACTTTTTCATCTAATTAATGTTTTCATAATCTGTAATGTGAATATGCACAATTGCATTTATGATTTGTTATCTTTAAATGTTTCCTTCTGCTCATTGGGTTCAACATCTGACAGGACGAACAAAAAAATAATAATAAGATCATCTGATTTTGATGTGTGTGTGTGTGTGTGTGTGTGTGTGTGTGTGTGTGTGTGTGTGTGTGTGTGTGTGTGTGTGTGTGTGTGTGTGTGTGTGTGTGTGTGTGTGGCTGTCATCTGTTAAACCGGACGTTCATTGATTTATAACATAGGCTAGGCTATTAGCATCAAAACAACTTTAAAACTAAACTAAATCTAATAAGAGTCAGTCAAAGAGTCCCACATCCTGCTGCAGAGTGGACATTAACCCAGAAAGAGAATGAAACGGTCTGTTTTTAGTCTCTAATAAGCCAAAAGACTTGGTATGTGGTATATTTGTGACTAGCAAAAAATCATTGATCCAAATATTGTAAAACAAGCCTCCTTGAAGTTTATGTATTAATATTATTTTTGTGATTGTAGCAGCCAAAAATAAAGTTTATTTAGTTATAATATTGTGCAGAGTGAACGTTTAACACGAATCTCAGATGAACGAGTTTAAGTGGAGTACCTGAACGCCACATCAGCATGGGAAGAACCCTCCTGCGGACGCATGCGCAGTAGGTCTCTGCCTCTCCGGGCCGAAGGAAAATCTCAGCTGCTGGAAATCGATGCAGGTCGGCAGATGCTGCACGAGCGCATGATTACGGTGACACGGGTTTGACCTTTTCCCTGCAAACACCAAGACATGAGGGACTAACGAGTCCGAGGACAGGAAGAGGAGGAGGAGGAGGAGGAGGAGGAGGTGTTACAGAGAGGAGACGCTTCAGGAGCTCCTGCAGGAGAGGAGCGAAAAGCAAGGTCACATCAGCATAAAATCAATCTCAGAGAGCTGCGTGCTGCATTTAAAATCTTTGAGATTTAAGAGCTCTCTGAATTTGTTTTAAAGACTTTCGTTATGATGAAAATGCAAAGTCATCGCTCTGAAAAATCCAGACTATCAAGTTCGTCAAATGTAAATATTTAAGAACTCTCCTTTCACTTCTTGAAGTCCATCCTCAGAACATCCTTGGAGCCCAAATTTCTAAATCCAGCTTCTCTGACTCTGAGCTCAAGCAGTTTTACAAAAAATGGAATATAAATATTCAAAGGAAATGTTGTGAACGCCTCCTCAAGGTGCAGGGAAGTTGTTGAAGAGGCTTTTTGTTCGCCATCTTTCTGAGTTGAAGTCAAATGAATTGGATAACTCATCAACTGGACAAAATTACTCGCAGCCCGTTGTAACACGTCTCAAAAAAAAAAAGAAAAAAAATTTAGGATTTCAAGGTTGCACCTAGCTAATGAGATTTCAAAGGGGGGCCGATGCTGTCCCTGGCCACTCCTCTAGACGCACCCCTGCTTCTCTTGCAGCAGCATGTCAAAGTCAAAGTCACAAATTCTTTGGAACATCGTACAACCGTCTGGTTAACGGAGACAAAACAGACAGCCCATCTATGTAGTCTCCATGTTGTTTTCCACCGCACGACTTAACACTCAGACACTACACACCGGCTACATACTAGACCAGTGCTACTCAACCCGAGGCACACACTTGACGATTCAGCCAGAAGGCCACTTTACTTTACTTTGGATTTCTTTTTTTTGTTCCAAGTAGGACCTAAAAGAGCGAGGATTATATTAGTCAAAGCGTTTGATACTGTCCTCATGTCTGTGTTATCCCACGTCTTTAAAATCTGTTTAGATTGGGGCGCTGATGGTCCAGCTGTTAGGTCACGCCCCATGTACAGAGGCGAGAGTCCTTCAAGCGGGCGGCAAGGGTTCAAGTCCGACATGTGGCTCCTTCCCGACATTTAATTCCCCGCTCTCTCTCCTGATTTCCTTCTCCATCCACTGTCCTATCACATAAAGTCAAAAAGCCCCCCAAAAATTACATTCCTTAAAAAGAAAGTAGTCGCCTTAGAAGAACGTTAATGCGGTGAAGCTGCGAACCGGATCACAACAGGCTCAACACGAGCGGTGTCACAAATCCTGCAGGTGCTTTGAGGATTAAAAGGAAAGAGATAAATTATGTACATGGAGTCCTGGATACATCTGAGTTCCTGTTTAAGCTGCTCAGTGAGACATGAAGCCAAAAGAAAAGTCAGACTAAATCATGAAGAGATGACTCAGATGGCTTTCAAGTGATGAGTCCTGTCAGAGCACTAGTATGACCTTTGGACTCTCATAATACCCCCAGCGTTAATGCAATAAGTGAGGAAAACGACAAAATCTCCATGAATGAATGATGTAAAAAAACGTCCTGTTGAAACACGTTCGTAAGATAAATAAGGAGATTCAGTAGAATTATTAAACATGGTTTGATATCCCTGCAACATAAGTCTAGTATGTGGTTTTCCGCCCCCCCCGTCGCTCCTGACCCCTGTCACCTCCACAGACCGCCACTGCTGTGGATCGGCATGGTGCATCTTCAAGTTCTGAGGAAGTGCATCAACAAAACCCCTCAAAACACCAGTGGGATACACCAGCCAGGCAGCATCCAGTTAAAAAGCAAGAATATCTGCACTCAGGGGTATTTAAGGTGAACACAGAGAATCTCTCCCCCTCTGGTAAATTCATGAGAAAACGGCCTTCTGAGGTCACAGCCTGCACATGCTTCATTCTGCAGAGTGAAGATCAAACATCGCTGTCAAATAACAGGAAGAGGAAAAAAAACAGCTTTTTATATTTTGGCCTCAGGAACTGTTGCAGAATACAAAAGAGGGAGAGGAACCAGGGTGCAGAGCAGAATGTCTAAAACCAAGATTGTAACACACAGTACAATTCTCTTATTAATAGCTGCTAAATGCTAGGTGATTGCATTTGTGAATAAAAAGCCGAGCCGGGACAATGAAGTCTAAAGTCTAACTAAGTCTTTAAACTCACTGGCTGAGCGGAGGTACATTTGAGGCAATCAGTTATGGAGTTATTTGTTTGCATTAAATATTTCTCTGGCTATAAATCATGTGGATGTGTTAGTCATGGATCATTATGATCAAAAGAGTTCCAGTAAATCTTCAAATGGTGAGTTAAAAGAGTACAAATGGTTGTTTGATTGT